AAACGGGGACAATTTCACAAAGCCGTGAAATAGTCCACACTCTCCCATTTCTACGACTTGGGCGCACTCGCTTTTTGCTCAACGGTTGTTTACGTGTAACTGTGGTTTAATAAAAGTTCCAAACACGAGCCCCGACTACCACCGAACATGGCATTTTGTCTCTGTGGATCTACCGTCATGTTCCACTAAATCGCGATGCAAATTTCGTTTGTGTATTGCCATGTGATTCTGCAGGGCGCTGTGCCCCGATAACCTCCTGCCACACGTCTCGCAGACATATGTTGCCATATCTCTCTTTAGCTTCGCCACAGCCTTGACCTCTTGGATTGATCTCCAAATGTTCTGGTACACATTACGCGCAGCCATGACCTCTGGGATGGCCCTCTTTATTCTCTGCTTCGCCGACCTCAATGCCAACGTTGCTGCCTTGGATTCTGGGGTGGATCTTTTTGCCCTCCGCTTGATTATCCTCGTGGTCACAACGCCGTGATGTGGGGTGGATTTCTTCACAATCTGCGCTGCTTTGTATGCTGGGGTAGAAACCTTCATTTTGTACCTCGCATTCTTCGCTGCCTTGTGCTCTGGGGTGTTTCTCAGGTTGGATTCGTATATTTTCCTCGCTGCCTTGAATTCTGGGGTTTGTGACTTGATTTTCCGCCTCGCGTCGCACGCTGCCTTATTCGCTGCCTTGGACTCTGGGGTGCTTCTCTTTGCCATGTCCGTGATTGTGTCCTTGGTGACACAGCCGTGGGTGTGTGTAGGACATTTGCATTTTCTTTTTACAAAAGGAAGTGATTTATTTTTACAAAAAAGAAACCACGAAATACATCTCTTGATGCCACGGGCGAGATTCGAACTCGCGCGGCTGTAAGCCATTACTACTTGGGAGTAACTCCTTCGACCAACTCGGACACCGTGGCTTTCACGTGTGCGTTTTGTTTTTACTGACACAGTTGAAATTTTGTTTTTACTGACACAGTGTAAGGTTGTAGCTAACTAATACACTTAGTGTTCTACCCCAGTACACCCCAGTATCTGCCGCATGATCTTGGAGTCCATGGGGACTACGGACGACTTGTACCCGAGACGTTCGTGGACGCCCATGGCGAACGCAACGGCCCTGTCTCTGCGCACTGACTCTGCCTGGATCATGGCCGCGACCGGAAAGTGCCGGTGAATGGTCGCCAACTCCGCCGCGGTCTTTCCGTCGATTGTCAGCGACAGAGTGTCCGCCCCACGTTCAAGAAGCGTTTGCACCATCTCCATGCGACCCTCTTTGGCAGCTAAGTGTAGTGGCGTCCGCTGGTTGATGTCCGAGATAGACACACTGGCCTGTCTCCGAAGTAGCCACCTGGCGATTTTGACGTGTCCTTTCCAGGCAGCGTTGTGCAAGGGTGTCGAACCAAAGATGTCGATGGCCGTCCAGTTCTGGCATTTTCCAGATCACACGAAACCACTGCGCCGTGTCCCCAGAGAGACATGCCCAATGAAGAGGCGTTTCGTTCCAAAGGCCGCGATGATTCACATCTCTCGGATATATCGGGTCATACATCGAGTCCCGTGTGGCGTGCACGGGTGTGAAAGTGAGGCCTGTCTCGCGTGTCCAGGTGTATATTTTGTCGTATTTCATTCTTTAAATAGTACACGTATGTCTCAGTCGTCTACTTCCCACGGAACATCATGCCTAAACCAACCGGACCTAGCAAGGCTGGTACCCCCCCGGCCGGGTGTTCCAACCACCCCACGCTGGGCGGTATCCCACTTGCGGCGACGAGGGGAGGGACCCGGCTTCCATCTCGGCGCCACTCGGCGACGAGGGGGGAAGGGTCTTGCCGCTGTGCCCAGTCGTCTGCTTCTTGGTGGCCGGCGACGAGGGGGGAAGGGTCTTGCCGCTGTGCCCAGTCGTCTGCTTCTTGGTGGCCGGCGACGAGGGAAGGGTCTTGCCGCTGTGCTCAGTCTTCTGCTGGAGGTCTGCAACAGACACCTGCGGGCCCGTGGGCTCATTCATCCTTGCGGGTCTCCTGTGGGTTCGCACGAGAATCAAGCAAAATATCAAATGTTTTTTCGCTTAAAAGGACAATTGGCAAACCGTTTGCCAATTGGCAAACCGTTTGCCAACTTTTTTTTCGCTTAAAAGGACAATTGGCAAACCGTTTGCCAACTTTTTCGCTTAAAAGGACGATTGGCAAACCGTTTGCCAACTTTTTTTTCGCTTAAAAGGACAATTGGCAAACCGTTCGCCAATCGGGTGAAAAAGTTGGTTTGCCAATCGAGAAAGAACTTTGGCAAACGGGAATCAACATCAACAATGGAAGGTATGCCGCGCATGGTGGGTGTGAAGAGGTCCGTCACAGAGCAGTGCCCTTGGGACGGAGCGTGCACGCCGCCAGGGAAGAGGCTGCGCTATCACGCACCCAAGCCGATCGAGGCGAAGCTCGGGGGACACCTGTTCCTGTACGTCGAAAACCCGGACGCCGCAAAGGTGGAGAAGACTCGCATCACGGACTCGGTGGTCGAATGGGTCCGGGCGCAGCCCCAGTTCGCAGTCGTGGAAGAGCACTTCCTCAGCTACACCTTCGCGGTCAGCATCGTCGACAGCATCCTGGCCTGGCAGGGCCAGGGTGGGACCAAGCCGATCATGGCTGTCAAGGCGTGCCAGCCACACCAAGTGCCTATGTCCATGGAAATGATGGGCATGATGCAGCCCACGGCACCTCCTCGAGTCCCCAGGACGGTGGCGGAGATGGTACTCGACGACCTCCGGATGCCGCCCCCGGCACCCAAGACAGTCTCCAAGATGGTGGTGGGGGCAGCGAGCGCACTCGACGACCACCGGCCGCGGCGTTTTGAGCTCGATACCAGCGTCAACTGGTCGCGGATGGATATCAGCGCGTGTGGGACACCGCCGGTGTCTTCCTTCGCCACCGTGGAGGAGATGCTACCCGTGACACCGACCATGTTCCACTATCTCTCGGGTGAGGACATCTACACGGCGCCCTCCGAGGGATTTGACGACTTCTACGAACTCAAAGACTTCCCGCTCACCGAGGGATTTGAAGGCTTCTACGATTCCAAAGACACCACGATGCCAATCCTGCCATCATCCACGGAGTTCGCACGCGCTACCCTCACGCAGCGCTTCGACGTCCCCAAGAAGCTCGCCACGGCGATCACTATCGTGGCGGGGCGCCAGCTTCTCATGGCGACCGTGATAGTGCTGGAGACTGTGCCGGCAGTGCTGAATGCGTCGCTGGAGCTGCAGCACCTGTTCCACGACCGGGTCAAGTTCACCACGGTCTTGTTCGGCCGAAGCCGCTACGTGGACACGGAGGTGTTGATGACGCAG